AAAAAAAAAAAAAAAAAAAAAAAAAACAAACGAACACGTTTAAAATAGTAGAGAGCAAAAACGCATATTTGCTTCTTCACTCTCTCTCTCCTCTGTCTCTTCTGTCTGTTGCAACCAAAGCCAGTAAGTCGCAAACAGACATAGTGAGCGAGGCCGATAACGCTCGGTCTTTCTTCGGCCTCAGATGCTGTTGGATTGTCTCTCTCTCATTGGGTAAGAGAAGGAAGGCAAAGCAGGCCCCTTTCTTTCTTTCTTGCTTTCTTTGCTTGTTTACTTGTTATTAGTTGTAAATTTCCCTTCTTTCTTCTGATTCAGGCAACCCCACGTTCTTTATCTCTCTGTGATTTATCGATAACCCCACGTTCTTCCCTCTCTTAGCTTTCCCAGGCTTATTTATTATACTCATTCACCCACCCACTGTCACCAACTATTTCCCGCAGTCCCTGATCCCATTTCTCTCTCCCTCTTTCTCTCACTCTGTCTCTTTCTCTTCTTTCCCAAGTGGATAGATCTCTGAAATTAAGCGGGGTTTTTCAGATTCGAAGCCAGTTTCAGTTGATTTCGACTGTCGGGTAAGCTCCTTCGTCTTGAATTCGACATGGGTTTTCTGTTTTGGATCAGAATCTGAATTGGGTTCTTCTCAGTTTTTTTGTTTTGGGTCCGTTTCAGATCTGCCCGTTTCGGTTTTCAATTGGGAAATGTTGGTTTTGTTAGTTCTTGAAGAAGCCACTGATTGATTTTTGGTTGAAAGCTTGTTGCTAATTGTTTTGGATCAGATTTTGTGCTTGCCCATTTGCCCAATTTGGTTTCAGCTTCCACTTTTAATACTGATTCTATACCAGTTCATGCTATTTTAATAAACAAACGTTTGATGCTTTCCTTGTTGTTTGGTTATGGTTTATGCTACTGTAGTACGTTCTTCTCACTGTGCCTTCACTTTCAGGATTTAAGCATTCGAATCAGTGCAGCCATTGCGATATCTGATCCTCACACGAATCTGTGATTGTGGGCATGAGGAGGTCCTCTTCTGGGTTTAGGACTGCATTACATTTGTGGCTAATTTTGCCGTTTTCGGTGTGAAAAATGTTACATAAGATGGTCTAAAGGCCAGAAAACCATACATAAGGTCGTTTGATAAAAGAAAAAATGCCCAAGATGATCAGCAAACCGCTGTTGCTGACTTATTTTTACCTATTCATCTACATTCTGCTCTCGTCCGGTGTTATATTGTACAACAAGGTACTTCCTCCTCAGTACTTCATTTGTATATTTTGCCCATTACTGATTTGCCTGAATATATCTACATTGTGGTCATCGATAGTCTATATGGTTAAACTGAAACTCAAGCTATAATTTTCCTTCTTGTTTTACTGATGATTTTCTGTGTGAATTTCCTTGCAGTGGGTTCTGTCTCCAAAATACTTCAATTTTCCATTACCCATAACACTTACGATGATTCATATGGGATTTTCTGGACTAGTAGCTTTTTTTCTTGTCCGTGTTTTCAAGGTATGACTATTTACTTTTGGATATGCTTTTTATATATGTTAATTACTTTTGACATCAGTGCTGGTATCCGTGTCAAGCCAGTTGATCATGTAGACAGGTCGTGGATTTTCTTTTAGTCGATAGTCGAAGTGATAGCACATAATTTCTCCGACATAATACTTCTTGCGATTGACTTTATATGACTGGAAGTCTTCTATGATTCACATCACTTTGGTTACCTCAAGCTCTTGGCGGAGTCGGTGTCTGCTGTCTGTGTCCATTAGGATTCTTACATCCACTTTTGCTTTTCCTTAATTTACTTTTATCAGTAGCTAATACACGAATGATTTTGAAACTCATGCTACCCATATCTGAATGAGAAGGGTGACTGCCAAAAAGATAGTGGGATAAATTAGTCTATAGTGGGACAAGGCATGTAACTGATGCCCTATATGGTCAGAGTGAAGTAAGATTTATTTGGAGGTCTCTGTAACTGGAGCTATAGAAGCCAATCTTGAAATTTTATAGAACTTCAAAATTTATAGTTTTTCATAATTGTGCAGATTACGGTAGTTCTAGTTTCTTTATTTTTTTTCTTTTTGTCTGCATCATATGCAAGTATCAGTTTTCTGTTGCGCATTTGTTGAAAATTGCATCAATACTCCATATTTTTGTTTCTGTTGTATTCATTTATTGCTTTTGTTCTCTTTATTTATTTCTCTGTAAATCTGCAGGTTGTAGCTCCCGTCAAAATGACATTTGAAATGTAAGAATGTAGGCTGTATTTTGGGTTCCAACTTGTTATTACTCTTTTTGTCCAAATTGTTTTGCTAATTTCTTTTCTTTATGTGGCAGATATGCAACTTGTGTAATTCCAATCAGTGCCTTCTTTGCATCGAGTCTTTGGTAAGCACTGAAATGTAAATGTAGTTGGGTTTTGTTTTGGCTAATAATGCTACCAATTAGGGCATGGATATGCATCATGTATCTGGTCTTCTGTCACTGTTCAAACTCAGGAGAGAGCTTAGATCGTTCTTGTCATATTTGATGAAAAGGTTACGGTCAATTTTTCAGATTTGACTGTAACCAGTTACCAGGCTCTTGCCACTCAACAATGAAAGTACTAAAATGCCTAGAGACCTCTTGTTACTTGTGCCAATCTGTTCTCTAACTATTTCTCATTTTGTGGTAAAAAATGAACGTATGCTTAGATTCCCTGGTGTAGAATGTCCGAACTTCCTTCAAGAACTGGTGTCCCTTGTACGGTTGAGTTGTCCAGATTTGGGCTCAAATGCAATGCCCACATTTAGGAATTGTATGCTTGTCAAGTTTTGCTTTGTTGTAAATTGTACTTATCAAGAGTCAAGACGAGAATTCAAGCTTTTTAGTTATTAACTTTTCTTTTTCTGTATTACAGGTTTGGAAACACTGCTTACTTGCATATTTCAGTGGCGTTCATCCAAATGCTCAAAGCTCTAAGTATGTGTGCTGATGCACAGACAGAGACTCATGATATCTATTTTACTACAATAATTACACTTTAAAACACTAATAAAAGACTGCTTATATCTATCTACATTCAATACTGCAGTGCCAGTGGCTACTTTTATCATGGCTGTATTGTGTGGCGCTGATAAAGCAAGGTGCGACGTGTTCACAAACATGTTGCTGGTCAGTGTTGGAGTTGTCATTTCCTCATACGGGGAGATTCATTTTAATGTAGTTGGTACAGTTTACCAGGTTACGGGCATCTTTGCAGAAGCTCTCAGGCTGGTCTTGACACAAGTCCTTCTACAGAAGAAGGGCTTGACTCTAAATCCGATCACCAGCTTGTACTATATTGCCCCATGCAGGTATTATACTGTGATGCTTGGACTTATATGCATTATAGGAGTTAGAATTTAGGCAAACACTATTTTTTCCAATCGCAAAGTATGAATAAGTAGTATATTAGTTCTTTGTCATCCATAACAATCTTGATAGAGAATAGTGACTCATTTTCAGAATTTAGTTCTGATGGTGAATGAAACTAGTCTTTACTTATTATTTATTGTAAATGTTGAGTATCCGAATCTGTAACTTATATTATATGGCTGAGATTCATAATTTAGTGGACGAAAATAGTAAATTTACAATGAGTGTATGAACAATCCATCTGTACCATGGGAAATCTCCGCTCCTTTTTACATCCTTATTCTGACGAAGTTCTACATTTTATTGATGGATGCGTGCGATTTAAACACAGTTTTGTACTCAATAGATTTTTCCCTTGATGCTTGTGCATGCCATCGCTTCAGCTTCTCACCATTATTGTTTCATTTATTTTTGCAGTTTTGTCTTCCTGTTTGTGCCTTGGTTGTTACTTGAGAAGTCTGCAATAGAGTATTCACAGTTTCAGTTCAACTTCTGGATCTTTTTCTCCAATGCTCTTTGTGCTTTGGCGTTGAACTTCTCCATATTCTTAGTAATTGGTAGAACCGGAGCAGTTACCATCCGGGTTGCTGGTGTTCTGAAAGACTGGATATTGATTGCCCTTTCAACTGTTATATTTCCAGAGTCTATTATAACCAGGCTGAACATAATCGGTTATGCCATAGGTAGCTCTCCGTATATATTAACTTGAAAGTTTCAAAGTTACAACTGCATTTTATACATGTTTAAATGTGAAGCTTTAGCTGACCAGTCAAGTTGGCCTGCAGCATTGTGTGGTGTTGTCATGTACAATTACATAAAGGTCAAGGATGTTCGTGCATCTCAGCTACCTTCAGAAAGCATTCCCGAGAGAGTTTCAAAGGTTTTCTTCTGCAGATTTGATTTCTTTTTGGAGTCCTTGATCCCCTTATATTTTTTGTGACACATGCTTTCTGTGCCGGCCAATACAGGATTGGAAGTTGGAGAAAAAGTCCTCTGATATTTTTGTCCCTGGAGGGACTGGTTCAGCCTCCGATAATGTTGATGAAGAAACACCCTTAACTCAATCAACAAGATTGTCTCACATTGGACGAACACAGGCTGGCAACTATGCTGCATGATTCTCGAACTCGTGTATGATGTTTGGAAAAGGAAGGTCCAGAAACGGAGTATGCAGATTCTTTTCAAACTCTAGAGCCTTATTCTTTCCAGGGAACAGATTTAACGCGCCGAACCACGGGGGCAATTCATTGTATTACTTTCAGTTTTAGGAAGTGAATGCATGATTTGCCGGTTGAAATTTGTAGACGGTAGCTTAGAACCCATAGTTGTCGGGTGAAGAAGCTCCCCATTAATTTGTCAAGGCTCGTGATAAGAAAACCACGTTTTTATCTTGACAAGTTATGCAGTTCCCCTTGTTACGGTACGGGCGGTAATGTAGAAACTGAAAGTTTATCATACGGCACATTTCTGTTCTCTCTGTTTTCTGTTGCCGGAGTTCGGTGGTTAGAACATGAGCTCTGTTTCATGAGTAGTCTTAGCTGTTACGGGTTGTGTATAAATTATGTGAGTTAATATTGTTCTGGAAAAAGGTAGAGAAATTGCAACAAGCCGCTCCGACATTCACTAGAAATTGAAAGAAAATAGCGTGCATACAAGATTGAAAGGCAATACATCTCCATGGTGAGTACAAATAGAACAAAGTACTTCTCTCAACTAAAACAATCTTGGAAATATTACAGAAACCGTGGCTGGCCATTAAACCAAAGCGAAAAAAAAGACTCGCGTGATTTACATAGAGAATCACAAACTTTATGCACAACTCGGGCAAGAATGTGTATAGAAAAAAACCAATCACCGCAACTATTCCTCTGAGCTTCCTCTGCATTCCCCAGAACTTGAATCATGGTAACTATATCGGAAAATTTGAATCTTGTAAGGGAAGAGGAAACTATTCGAACTGTTGCGGAGGACTCAGTGACAAAAGCCTCCTTGCGGCAGGCGGTGCCAATCCAGGGATATCCCTGATGTTTTTATTGCCAGGGTTCACAATCTGAAATGTAAACAGACATTACAGTTAGCAACAGATGTAGTCGTTTCTAAACTTTTAATTTTTTTTCCAGGACGATTTTGAACACAAGTCTGAGAAGGAAAGCATGAATTTTCCATACATTACTAACTACTTAGAGGGAGAGGAAAATAGATAGCATGGTTCACAATCCATCAGAAATCACTTTCCAAACTCATAAACAAATTTCCTCCACAAAAAGTTCCTAAAATACAACTCTGCGGATATCTTTGTAACTTAACGTGCGACTTCCAAGTATTATAAAAAATGCGTAAAATGGGTAGAAAACTAATAGATAAATGAATCAAAGAGCATACCTTCACAACAATAATTGCTATTACACCAATTACAATAAGCAAAAGAAAAAGCATGATGCATTTATCTGTTGCCACCTGAAAATATTGGAGAGAAAAATTAGTTTTTGTTAAAAAAATATACAAGTTGAGTATTTAGGGGGCGAGATCTCAACTAACCTGTCTACCAATCTCCTTTACAAGCTGAGAGGCCTTCTTAATTGAAAACTGAATTGTGTCCAGCTCATTCACAATGCGGCCCATTTGGTCAGTCTGCAAGTTTTGGAGTCAAACAATGTTTAGTCTAAACTCTTGAAATGAGAGATAATGGAGACAACAGGTGAACACACTCACTTGGCCCTTTAAGGTAACAGCAGTTTGAGTTCCCACTTCAACTGTTTGCTCAACAACCTATCAACAAACTAAAGAGTTAAAATTGTTGGCAAAAGAAAATACACAAACTTAAAATTGAAGTTTTTTTTTTTTTATAGCTGTTCACCTTTTTAGAGCGTTCAATGACCTGATCAGTCTCATCCATTGTTTTCATCCCAGAATTGATTAGTTCTTGATTTGACATAGCTATCATAAATAAATGCCGATTCGAAAGGTGGTCAGACATATCTTTTCTTCAAATCAGGCACAAAACAAGCACAGACATAGATATAAAGTTCCAAGCAGTTTGATTTTTCAAAGTTTGATAAACCTTTACTTTGTACTATCATTAAAAGACCGCATGTGGATTAGCATAGCATGATTAACCCCTAAAAGCTTGAAAGATTTATAGGAAAAAGCTCATTCCTACAAATCCAAACTAAGCTCATAGATATGCAGAATGACAAGAACTACCTGAAGCCATTTGGACATTCTCATCAGCAGTGGGTTCACTAACTCCTGCTCCCATATCAAAGAGTTCGACTTTCTTGTTACCAAGGCTATTCATATACCTGCAGTTCGGCTAGAGTATGAAAAATCATTTAAAAAAATCACAGATACCCAGAGCACGAAGAGTGACAGGGTTTTAGAATTCAAGAACTGTAATATACAATATTTTGTTGTGTTTGTGGGTTAACTTATTTGTCCCAGAATATAAAGCCTGAAGGCAACATACTAAACATTAGACTCCATAATTATGAGCAACTAATTGACAATAGTGCAGAATGCATAGCTGGACTTACGTTTTTCTCAATTGTACATATGAATTCAGCTCTTTGATCTGGAAAATGAAGCATTATAATTAGATGGAGTTGTTACAGTAGCAGGCACTAATAGACCTTGTGTACCCCAAAAGGTCTTGTGCACTAATACACCGATCAAAAGTAGTAACAGAGTTTGTAAGCCAGCAAGTGGTACAGCATACATGTGTACATCTATGTGATAGAAAAAGACAAAAGCTCATAACAACTTACCATAGATTGCTTCTCATCATTAAGCTGTTTATTCACGTCAGGAGGATTTCGGCTCTCCTCGTCCTTGATTTCACGATCAAACTCTTTAATTAATCTGAAACAAAGAATTAACAAAATCATACTCTGATTTATCCAAAACAGAAAACCTGAAGAACTGAGATTCTGTTTCTTTTTGTGGCTTTTTATTTCTTTCACTACCATAACAACAATTATCGCATACCTCAATTCTTCCAACATCCCCAAAAAAATTACAAATGAAGAGATGCATGGGAGTTCAGGAACAGTATGCGGGACTTCTATATAAGCATGACTTAAAGACACTTACATCATGATCCTAGTTATACTTGAGGAAACTTTTATGGCTCCAACCTAACTGTCTTTGTTAATAAGTTACTAATTCTTCAAAATTCCAAAGTAACCTAATGGAGTCGTTGATGCAAGAATCATTAAATTTTGAACATTGCATTGGATGTGGCAACATTTTATCTCTCTGTATTTTCTCTCTTCCAAGAAAGTGAAAATTAAGATTGTCTAAGGTCCCCAGTTACTAAAAATATCAGATAAATGATCGGAGAGTAAAAACTAAATCCCATATGTGGCATACCTTTTACATTCCCTCATCTTTCCTGTAAGTTCCTCCAGCTGTTTACTTTGTCTGTTGGAGTCTTTGATCTTGTCCAGCTTCTGGAAGCCATTTCTGAAAACAAAAAGGAAGTCACCGTGGTTATAACGTGATCACTTTATTATTGAAAGTGGAATACATGTATCTACTACACAACCCCACCACTCCCCCCAACAAATGAAACAAAGAAATAGTCTGCAAAGAAATGAATTATTCTTTCATTAAGTGACTACACCCTGTAGAAGAAATATAAACAAACAATTAACATGTAAGATGGTGCACAACAAGAAGGACCATGTGCTTAACAAAGTGCATGGCACAATCACAACGGTTAGTGATAATACACTGGGTCAGACGGAAGCAGAGAAGAACTGTGATAAAACAATGGCAGCTGGTTTCAGTAACCACCTAATGAGGGGAAGCTAAATGAGACTGTATCAAAGAATAAATGCTCACAACGGCTACTATTTGACTAATATCTCCCTCATTATCCATCCGTTTCCAGAGTACATCATGATTGTTGCTTCCATGGGGTTCCACGTACAGATGTCAAAATAATTTTACGTGGTTGTGGAAGCAATAACACTATTGCCCTCTAGGTAGCACGGGAGTAGTAATGAACCATCAAGAGCATGGCCAAAATATTATTCACTTCAGATTTGGTTCCCCCACAAACAATGCCAAAGGTTTATTGAGCAATGTGCAAAATCAATAGAGCAACTCAGAGCCTTGAAACCTAGGAAATTTATCTGTGTTATCTAAAAGACACCCGCTTTAAGTTTGTTTGTAAAGAGCAACCAATGTTACTCACCACTCCACGAAAACATTGCAAAGAGGTAAAATACTGCAGGAACAGCTGAACAAGAACATACACTCTTCGGATCGCCCTGGTGACTCTTTCTCCGGTAAGTTAATAATGCTTAACTACAGTTTATGAACATCAAGCTAACTTAATTGTGAACGAATACGCAATCGAATTACGAAACAAACAAATTATTCTCACATTCCTCTAATTGAACCATAGGATTCTGAGAGATCACTCAATCATCGAATTCACAATCAATAAACAATGCGCACAACAATTCAAACACTTAGAGAAAAATCAAAGCTCTGAAATTTATTCAGTAACGATGCAAATTGAAATGCAGAAACTGAAATTACAGAGACATACGCGAGGGCTCGAAAATTATCGTGTATTTCGCCATGGATCTGCTCCAACTGAGGACTCATCGGCAAGTTGCTGGCCATTGTCGCCAGAGACTAACCCCTCCCAGATCGGATCCGCAAGAAAACCCTAACTTTTCCCCTTTCTACGCTTCTGCAACACTCCACACCTTCTGTCGCCTGAAGACGATATTTGCAGGAGCTTTAACGACGAAACCCTAACTGCAATCCTCCATGGTCTTACTCCTTCATTCACAAAATTTACAGAAATTGAAAAAAAAAAATTGCAGAAAAATTAAGGAATTTTGGGGGAAATCGTGACAGGATGGAAACTGGGCGTGGAAGAAAGAGAGGGGGGGAGAAAGAATCGCTGTCTGGTAATGATTTGTTGTACCAAAAAAATGTGTTTATGTTTTCTTTATTTCTTTGTGATTAGGCGAAAATTGTGATTAGGCGAAAATTAATTAATTAGGTAATTAATTAATTGGGACGTTGGACCGTGAGATAACGAAAGATTTCACGACAAATTGGTTGCAAAGCTTAAGAAACATCTAAAAATGTTGTTAAGAATCCAAGATCGTTGTGTTTCTCCGCTTGCGAGTTGGTTTTTTCTTTTACTAAAATGATATATTTCTTAACGTAAGATTCTCTATCAGCAACATACATATCTAACGAATTCGATATTAAATTATATTGTTTATTATATGGCATAACTAATCTCTCATTTTTTTAATGTAAAATATATCATTGTATTTGAAAAAAAAAACAATACAAATTTCAATTGTGATTATGAAAGTTTTCAATTAGAATTTTTTTAAGGAAATGTTATTGGCATTTCAAAAATCTCATTATACACTCCTCACAATTGTATTTTTTTATTTAAATATAGAAAGTTTGGAGTGAAGAATGAGAAATTTGGATTGCCAATAACAATTCCTTTTTTTATATACAATTGTATATTTATATTTAAGGGGTGGGAAAAAAAATTAACCGTGAATTTGTGATTTGAATTTAAAACATTTATTTTGCAAGGAAAAAGAAAAACCACAAAACTGTCCATTAAAAACATCACTAAATCGTAAAAATTCAAGCGTATTCAACATGATTTAAATGAATTTATGAAGTCCATAAAAATTTGGGTATTCACCTTGACTTGGAGTCTATAATGGTGTGTTTGATTCACTGAACTGTCTTATGTTAAACTAACCTTAGAAACTAAATTAAACTAATTTAAAATAGACTAAACTAGATTATTTTGGTAAAATAATTAATTCAGTATCGAGCATGATTTGGTTTTGAATGCCTTTATTTTCCAGCCTCAAGTTAGTCGGTCGTATTGGGTATTGGCTTAACCTTTGGTTCCATTATCGAGTTTGCCCTCTTCTCTATTTATTGGGTTGAAATTGCGAGTTGGTGCTGTTTTTAATCTTTGAGGTATACTTCTAGTGTAGTTACGGCAACGTGGTTCAAATATGCTTCACATCACATAAATATTTATCGGTTAAAACACAAAGATCCATGATATATTTCAATTCATAATCCATTATCTATTTATCGCCCGCGGTGGCATCCAAAAGAAAATGATTCTCGTCGGATCTTTTTCCTGGGGATCCTGGGGATTCTGTGATTGTGACCGTTCATCGTAGATCGTACGATCAGTTTTCATTAGGTACTATTTATATTTAATTTTAAATTTTAAATTTTGAAATGATTTTTGACTGTACGATATACGATGAATGGCCACGATCACAGAATCCCCATGACCAAATCCTTTTTCGCATCCAAAAACATCATTTGATAGTAAAAAATGATTGTTGCAATTTATGTGGCCTTTGCACAAAACATAGCTTCACTTGTAGAAATTAATTTTGAACTTGTAAATATTTTAAAATGTTGTCCTTTAATTTTGTTATATGTGGAGAAATTTTTCGTTATGTCCAGAATACGAATGATACATCTCGTGTCGTTACAAGTGGAGGAAAATTTTATTTTTTAAGTTGTTACACAAGTACATCCCGTATCCAAATACATTGAAAAGTCGTTCTCATGTGGGGAGCATCAAAGTTAAAAGAGTATCATTAGTTGGGTGGTGTTGCGTTGCCACCCGCCACTAGGGATTGAGAAACAAAATTGGATTAACCCATTGATGATATTATATGTATCACAAGTAGGGGTGGCTTGAAAAACTAAAAGCCCGAAAATAATCAAACCATTCATCTAATAGAAATTGAAAAGGTTGAACTAAGATAATCGAATCAAATTTAAAAAACCGAACCAAATCGGAAGTAGTTGGTTTGCTTTCGGATTCCGAACTGTTTCAGTAGTTTGGAAACCGAATTGAATCGGAATACATGGACGGTGTTTCTTAAGTGTTCTGTAAGATTGTTCGGGTACTGGCAAACCATCCTTTGAGTAGTCAATAGGGTCAGTGACGCATCCAGTCTCCCTAGGTAGTTTTTCTTATGATTAATGTGTTTTCTCTAAGGTTCAAATACTTCAATTAAGATAAGATTAGCATTGTGTGTTTGTAGGATCTACCAAATGTATAAAAAATTCAAACCAAACTGATAAATCCAAACCCAAGTCAAAACGAACCAAACAAAACGGAAAGAAAAAACGATCCGAAATGATAGAAATTCCGTTTTGACAAAAAACGGAACTCACCACTAATTAGAAAAATAAAATATAGAAAATTTCGACACGAGCGATGCTAAGGCGAAAGCTTGCTATAATTAGCCTAATACAGGATGAGAGAAACAGATTAAAATCTACTTTTCTCCAACGAAATTTCACTTGTGTTTCGCTTCTTTTAATTTCCTTTAATATCTTAACGAACCTTTTCACTTATAAGTTCATGTGCCTTAAATTTTGAACATTTTTTTCCCCTTCCTCCATTATATATAACCATGACATACATTTTACATGTTATTTGAAAATGATTTATTCGAGAGTTGGTTCATGGCTTCTTCATTGTTGTGTGAAATGCAAACTAATGCTATTGTTAATTGCTCACTCGTGTGATAATAATTGTTAAGTTGTTTTACGAGACTGGATGAGATGGGAGTGGGATATATCGTGAGATTATGAACCCCAGCTATGCAGCTTACGTTAGCAGAGACAGCAAAGGAACACTGCGCTGTCAGGGACTGTGCGTTGGGTCCTCTATTTTCCATACAACTGGATTTCGAATTCTTCCCCTGTCTCAACTCCTTATGTGCAATTGTTTAAGGAACAATGATAACGTTACCTACCCTGCTACCATGTCCACTTGTTTTATGACCCGCCTAGCCAGTGAAGTGACACTTGGCAACAATTTCATTCTATTTTATTTTGGGTTTCGAACTCTATGAACCGGATCGCCTCTAAGTTTACAAGGCTAAGCTTCTTGAGCAAATCATATGGACCGTTAAAATTTGATCCAACTGCTATAAGCAGAGTCCTCTAAAAGTTATAATAATTACAACCGTTAGATCAAATTTTAATGGCTTATGTGCTTTGCTTCAGGAAAGGATCCGATTCTGGAACTCTGAAGCCAAGTTTGCTAACGAAGGAGGTGACATTTGTGTAATACATGATTTGTTGATTGATGCATATAATTATGATAAACTCAAGTGGGATTGCTCATCTAGCTAACTAATCCGATCGTTTAATATTAACAAGTGTTTAATATCGACACGTTACAGACTACTAATATCTTATTTATATTAGCGATATTACATAATTATAAATATCATTGTCGGTATATTTTTTAATAAAAGTTTATGTGTCAGTTAATTAATGATGCGACATGTTCCTATTGGTTACTAAGTTTCTCTCAACACTGAGAACAAAAGCCCAAGTAATGCTAAAAAATGTGTTAAAAAATCTGACATCCATTATTCATATGGAATGAGAATCCTATAGGATTCTCAAATCGTGTCCATTCATCGTACATCGTACGGTCAAAAAATATTTTAAATATTTTTATTTAAAATTAAACATGAACAATATTTGACGAAAATTGATCGCACGATGTAAAATAAACGGACGCAATTTAAGAATTTATAGAATTCAAATAAAGAGGATCCTCGTTCATCCAGTGTGTGTTTCCCCTTGAGTTTGACACCCAACTTGTCATTTGTTGTTTTGACTTTTGGCCTCATTTCTCACTAAGGAAACGGGCAGAACGATAGCTTCATTTTCTTAAAAAATCATTGGCTTTTGATCGAATATTTTTGCAAGAGCTAATAACAATTATTGGTAGTAACCACCTCCGCAGGTTGGACTTGGAAGCATGATTTGCTACCAATAGGGAGTGATAAGAGAGAGCTTATCAAATTGAACACGAGGGGTGTTGTTGGGCCTTCTTTTAACGTAGAGCAATTTTGTCAAACATTTTAATACGGTGTGTTATAATGAATAGAAAAATTATCGGAATACATTAAACTAGAATTCACTAGAAAACTAAAATTCGTCAATAATTGAGAAAACTTCAAAATTTGTCATCGATTTGATTTGTCAATGAGGAATTAGGCCAAAAATGCATATATGTCAAGACAAAGCGACGTCTCTTGTTCGCCTTACTGTTTTCTTCAAAACAACAAATCATGGGCCTAAATCGAGCGCCAAAACCAAATCTCTAATGATTGGGCCTTACTACTAATTTTACGTCTTTCCAACCATCCTTTGATCAATTCAGTCTATTCTAAATCACATCTTACCAAAAAAAATTGTAAACAATTTACGTATGAAACCAAATCAATGGAATAAAAGCAAAAATTTAAAAGTGCGTTGGGTCCTATGTATATTGCCTCTCCATTGTGCCTTTGCCGGTTCATCACCTAATTGAATGTCAACAAAATTGAATGGGAGCTCAAATCTCCACAATAGCGACTAAAACATAAGATATTTGTATCATTAGCTCTTTGTGGGTCCCTAAGAATATGTCATTTGTATTAGTAGAGAGTTTACAACCACTTAACACCATGATCAAGGAACTAATTGTAATCCCAACTCGCACGCAAGGATTTAGGATTATACACATACTTTTGGGTTAAACTTAATTATTTCATTAATTAAATACTAATTTGATATGAGGAGGTTGTTCTCAAATCCAAACATTCGACAAACTGATCTGGTGTTTTTGTTCTTATGCAACAAGTGGACGATTGCTTAAATCAGTTGATATCATTTGCTAATTTGATTTAACTTTTTTATTCTTTTACTTTTGTAGAAGGATATTCTACGTTAAAGGGTGGTATCTAGTAAGCAAATAACCATCAAAATTTGTACGATATAAGCATAAAATCAACACCAAAAGCCAACATGATCCTCTCCAGATCTTTTTGGTGAGAATCCTAGGGATCATTGAATCTTATTCATTCATTGTACATCATGCGATCTGTTTTTATCAAGTATTGT